CACAAGTTCACTGCCACCCATCGCTTTTCCTCTCTGCTCCCTTTTTATTCCTAGAGCTGGTAAATGAAACCTACATGAGAGGAAATGATTCACACAAGCAGCTGGAAAGGCAAGACTGTAGGAGATTTCCTAAATGAATACAATTGACTGCAGTAACTACAATCACGTCTGGTATTTCAAAGCCATTCCAGTGTTGCTAGGTCCTTACACTACCATTGGCTTCGCTGTTAATTGCATTGTGAAGTTACAGCACTGAACCCCAGAAGTCAGATGAAGATCATATGGCTGCAGAGTCCAGGAAACAAATATCGGATAGTTCAAGGGTTTGGTGATGAGCTTAAGACCTTCTGACCTCTTGGTTACCTGGGTAGGGCACTTCAAAGGGGAATTAGTGCAGAGGACTCAGCGTGACACAAATCCCAGTTTGTTTGCTTGACATCCTCACACAGTCCATAGCAAACGATAGAAAACCAGATACCTCAGGCAATGAACAGAGTATTAGGTGATGGAGGGAATGACTCAGAAAGCAAGATCCTGTCAGTAAAAGGAAAAAGAACCACATTTCTCCAATATGTATAGTTTTATATTCCACACCCACTTAAGAGCCACAAGAGGTTCAGAATTTGGGGCTGAAATCAGGTTCAAATCATCTTTCTCTGGTAAAGAGAGAATTAACAGACAACCATCAGGAAAACTCCAGATACATGTTCTGAAAGCACTCTGACAGACTGCATAAATCAGGATACCAATTTATAGATCACCTTTTAATATTAAGAACAGGCTTCTAACACATAAAGAGACCCACACTTACTTAAAGCCACTAAAACCTCACCTAAGAGGCTGGAGGTTGTTACATTACAGTACAGTTGCGTGCAGTCCTTCAAATGGGGCTGGGGAGGGGCAATTCCATCCTAGCAAATGTGTAACTGTAGGACCAGGCACAATACAGGCAGCTACTTTGAAAAGAACAGATCTACCTATAACAGGTCCACCCCGACATCTTGGTCTTGAAAGCCAGCCATTCAAGTGACCTATCAGGAGACTGCTAGCCTCAAGGAATAATGGACAACATATTTCAAGCATCACCACTTCAGGATTTTCAGGGGGGGAAAGACAGACAAGCTATAGTACAGGAAAGCTGATGTCAGTTTAAATATCTTCCCCATGTCAAAGCAGCACACAGAGCATATTTAATTGTTCCACTGAAAAAGTGATTTGCCCTCTGACACAGAGTAAACCATTGGTAGAAGCACAACCAGAACCCAGGTCTCGCTCTCCTGGGCTGTGCTCTGAGGCACATATGTGGTCTGGCCTTTCATGTTGAAACCACTGCCTCTAGCAATCGGAGGTTGCACTTACAGATTTCAATTGACCGATATTAATTTCCTCTCCATATCCATCCTCAAGAAACATCACTGCTGTAGCAAGCACTAGGAATTACTATGTGACCAAAACAAGTACTGATTTGTAATTACCAGTATAGTCTGGATAAGAACACCTACTCGGACGGTCCTGTTATTTGTAAAATTGTGGTTCATTCACAGGAAGAAAGTTTTAGGCTGAAGTGTAAGTGTTTTGAAGGTCTATCACGGTCAGACTTTGCATCCACCCCAGCTAACTTTTGTGATGCTACTGAAAAGCTAGCAGTAAGAAAGAGTTATCATCCTACATTGCTTTCCAGTTCACATTTGGGGGTTTTCTTTTGGCTGCCTCCACCTCACATCCAAAGAGGTTTCCAGTCTAAGCACTGCATCTAGCTTCAAAAGTTTCTAACTCCCACACTCGAGTTCACAAGGACTTGATGCACGACTAATTTGAAACTGCAGGAAAATAGGATGAGAAGTCAAGCTGGGAGAACACCAATTCCAAAGACAACTAACACAGATACAGGCATTTGTTGAGAATCAAGCTACTTCCAGCATGGGAATAAGCTTCCCTTAACCCAGTTAGCAAAGCTTCTCATGTCCAAGTCTGGAGGACAACAGTTTCTGCTTGGCAGACAGCCCCTCCATTCTTAAGCTTTGGGTAAGTCCCACTTCCATTCTCATTGCCTTAACACAGTAGCAAGTTAGAAATGCACACACTGAATGTGAAATTCAAACAAAATAGTGAGGCTGCAGCAATCTATACTATGCCAACAAACACTGCTGCTTGTATTTCAGTCATTATTACTTGAATATCCCCCACAGAAGTTCAAAGCAATTCAAGCACATGCAAAGGTAGTCTTTGGTCTAATAACTAGGATCTGTCGACTGAAGCCAACCAGAAGCTAGAATTTTCATTTTAAAAAAGGAAACAAAGCAAGCAACATTCCACCAGAACAAGTATTCCACAATTTAATTTTGAAGGATGTGAATAATTTTTTTTCCTCCAAATCTCCCTCCACCACCACCCCCCAAGCTTTTTACACTGCCCAGGGCCTTAGTTTTCTGGCAAAAAAAAAAAATGTTCAGCAGTCCTCAGAGCCTCAGAAGCCCATCTCTGAGACAGCCTGCAACCTAGATACCACAGACTCTATCAGCTATTGAGTTTTGAATGGTTTTCTAGGTGGAAGACAAAAGATTGCATCAACTTTTTTTTCTCCCCCTCCTTGGAGAAATACAACTTTTATGACAAGCTAATTTTAAAAAAATTGGTAGCAGATACCCAAACAGCTCAATCATGTCTTCACTTGCTGACCAAGGACAGGAAAAGACAACTGCAGAAACATGGTGTGTCTTGCATCAAGGAAACACATCAGCTGTAGAGCATGGCAACGGTATGGGCTGCAACATACCAAAACCTGGAGCTGCTGCAATAACTTTCAAGGCTCTGGCCTGCTTATACTTGGCTGTGATTACCCAGGAAAAGTGCCAGAAATCACTGGACAAAGCACTCACTGGGCAGGTTGCAGAAGAGAAGGTAGGAATGGCCATGTAGTATCATTAATAGTAATCACCTACCCACCACCTTGTATCCTCCATAGCCTCTTCAGGACAGAGGCCAGCAATCTCTGCTGTGATGGAGCTGCTATTGCTTCACATAATTCAAGTGCTACTAAGATCCCCTGTTTAGATGGCAAAAGGGACACTGAACAACGTAAACAACAGTTTATACCAGCCTGATTCAGTCCCCTGAAAAAAGCCTTCATACCCACATAGATCAATGTCAGACTTTAGAGCAAAAAGCCTCATTCTTATCCAGCACCATATTAAATCCAGAAAAGCACAGCTATCCCAACCTGAAGCTGCACCCTGCAGGAGGCTCCCCCCAAAGGTCCAACATTGTGGCTGGGTAAAGTTTTCCCACACAGATTTTCCCATCAGAAAGTGAAGCTGTTAGACATTTGCCAACAACAAAACTCCACACTCAAGGGGAAATTAAAACATACAAAGATTGCTTCAATGCATGATATTTGACTAAGGACTTGAATTTTTATTTCAAAACATCCACCAGTGATTTTTTCCTCCCTTCAATTTTTATTTTCCCCTCTGCTTTAAACTAGAATAGGAGATTCTCACATGGCAGAGTTCCACTGGACAAAAAAAAAAAAAAAAAAAAAAATCTACCAGCTTTCCCAACATCATTGTTTAAATCAGCTTTAGATGATTTTATACAACACTTTATAGACTTGGAGAGGGATGCATTCCCCTGACAAAGCATCAGCTATCCAAACAACCGAGGCATGGGAAAATCATGCAAGAGTGAATTGGGGAAGGTCTTTGGTGAGCAAAGATACAGTCCACAGTCATGTAAGCGTGGTAGCTCTGAACAAAGATCTGCAGGCTAATAGATATGTAAGACAAATGACATGTGGTTCTCATTGCAGCTCACTCTTTGGGAAGGGGGTACCTTGGAACAGATCCAGCTGGGATAGGTTTATCCCATTACTCTCCTATAATTTTCTGCTGTTTCAAACCGTTTGACAGTTACTGTAGTTTAACATCACACCCCCTACAGACTGAGGCCTGTTTGACAGGCCAGCAAACAAAACCACCCCCACTTGGAGATGAAATATGCACCATATGCGAGAACTGTGCAAGGCACAAGACTAGCGCCCACTCTTGTACTTCTGTGACGTGCTGATGTAAATCTGCTGTGTAGATGCCTTATCCCAATTCCTAGCCCAAATAAGTGGTTCTAACATAAACCCTCCTCCACAGCAGCGCAACTCACGCATACTAGGTATTAGCAAGGGGAGGAGGAAAAGAGGTAGAGACAGGATGGACGAGCCCTGAATATTAAATTCCCAAGTCCCCACTTAAGGGAATTGCAGAAAAAAAACCCCAGTGAAATTCAAGAACAACTGGAATCAGGTTAAGCCACCCTCTCGCTTTATACAGTGCGGCTCATTCATCTGAACAGCTGTTTCACCTCTAGAGAAATACCCAGAGAAAACAGAGGGGAGGGGGAGAAGCCTAAATTGTTTGCTCTATTGAAGCAGCAAGATACAGTAAATCAAAACCGATTTACATTAAGTTTATAACAAATTGGTTTGGGATGGGGGGGAAGAGGAGAAGAGTGGGAGGTTTGGTTTTAAACAGCTATTTGAAAGCTGCAGCTCTTGAACAGAGATCTGTAATTAAGGTCTTTCTTTTGTTGAGCTGAACAAGTTTTTCCTCGCAGCCGAGGGCTATAACAGTTCCCTCTGCCGGCATCACCAGCGTCCCGGTTCAGGAGGTTTTATGGCTCTGGGACACGCTGCCCGGCAGACCCGGCAAAGCCACCTTCCCCTCCCCGACAGGCCGGGGGAGGCAAGAAGGGGAGAGTTTGCGGGTTTCATTTGCCAAAGCTCAGCTCCTCGATTCCCTAGTCGCTCCCTGCCCCAGAGAGGAACACTGCTACGGGCAGGTAGGAAGCCTCCCCCACCCCATTTAGGATGAGGGCAGCCCAGTCCGGCAAGCCCCTCGCACCCTCCGCGGGGACTGCTGCCCGCGGTTTTGCCGTGCCTGTCGCTCCCCCCGGGAGCCACCGGCGGAGCCCAGCCTCCTCGCCGGGGAGGCGGACCCGGTCTTACTCACCGGCGACTGGCGAAGCCGCTGCCCGGCGAGCCCGAGCTCTGCTCTGGGTAGTTGTGCTGCAGGGTTGATGCTGGGAATTGATAGAGGAAGCCAGTCCCTAGCGCGCATCCATGGAGGCAGCAGCACCAGGACAAGAAGAGAGCCAACTGCATTTTTGCAAGAACAGGGTTTTTCCTCCCGACCCCCACTTTTCCTCTTACACGGCACGGCAGGCGCGGGGCCCCACCGTGCCTCCCCCGGCCGGGGTCACGGCAGGATCCCACGGCGCGGAGGTGCCCCCGGGACCGGGGACCACGGGGCAGGGGTGCCCGGGACACAGGGACCGCTGCTCCGGCTCCCAAGGGCAAGCCCCGTCCCTCGGCAAGCCGAGCCCCGGCGGCGGCTGCTGCTGCCCGGGCAGGGGGTCCGGGGCCAGCGCGGCTCTTTGCGCCCAGGGCGCGCACTCAGCCCCGGATGCCTTTTCAAATTTGGCGAGGTTGGTCCGACTCCGTCAAAGGGGGCGTGGGGTTTCGGCGTTAACCCTTGCCAAGCCTCGCAGCAGACCCCGCTGCGAAGGGGCTCCCCGTCGGTGAAGGCGGCCGGGGATCCCGGGGCCGGCGAGCCGCGGTCCCGCACGGGCACGGAACGGGCCGGGGCTGCGCGCTCCCACCCGGGCAGAGCTGGGGGAAGCCCTGGCTCAGCTCTGGGCACAGGCAGGGAGCACACCTGGGGAGCCCGAGCCCAAAAGATCCCCGACACAGATCACAAGGCCCTGCATCTCCTCAATTAACCGAGAGCCAGTTTGAGGGGTACCCACTGCACTTCAGCAGTGCCGCCCAAAAAGTGGTGCCTGCTGCCACGTTCGCACTGCAGAAGTTACACAGATAAAGTAGGAAATAAATAATTTTTTTAAGATGCTTCATTCACAAGGTAACCAGTGAAAAAGTAATCTCTGCTTCAGTATGTGCATCCTGCTCCTTTTGGCATCACACGTAAGCATTCCCTTTGCCACCACCTCGTGTAGACCCCCTTTGCCTAGCACCCAGGATGGTTTTGAGCTTGGAGAATTGCACAGTCAGCCCCAGGCAGGAGGAACGTTTTTGCAGTTGTGGAAGGACATGGGCATTTGCAAAGGCAGTACCCCAACAAGGAAGCCAGCGGTAAGGCTCCCTCCCTGTACAGCAGCCAAATTTGTGTTTAAAACCCTTGTACATCCCCCATTTGGTAACAGCGTCACAGACCCCATTTGCTGGCCTTTCAGTGTCCCCTTCCCAGCTCCGGAGGAACCTGGGCTGTTGCAGCTCACTGGGCAAGTGACTTGTCTGAACCAAACACCACAAGGAGGGATTTAATTTTTAACATGACACAGCCATCTTTCTAAGTTTTTTTACCCTCAGATCCTGCAAGGTCACAATACCTGCTCTGCACCTTCACTGTTTGTGCAGCCATCCAAAGACAGCCCTGATTTACTACTGAAAGCAGGTCTCTTGCTGGGGTATCCAAGGGGCCCAGGGCTTCCCTATGGGGCTCTGCAAGGGCAGAGACCTCTTCCCCTCAGGGGTAACACAATCCCTGTAAGATGCTGCAGCTGGAAAATGATCCCTGCAAGATGCTGGGAAAATGGCTAGGTCCATCCCCCACCCGTGGGTGAGCACCTACCCCTTCCCCCATGGTGCCCACCTCCAGAGCCTGCACACAGAGATAAATAGCCCCTGGCTGGAGCCTGTAACCAGACAAGTTTAGACTGCAAATGAGGCACCAGGTTTTTAAACAGCCACCATCATTAATCACTGGAGCAAATCACACAAGGAGGCAGAGGTGCAGTTTGCACTGCAGCTCAGCACAGCCTCCCTGGGGTTTCCCAACAGCTGCCCCCAGGGTGTCCCAGACCCAGAGCTGGAGCAGACAATGGATCAGCACTCTCTGGGATCAAAGGGAGACCAAAAGGTCTGGTCCAGCAGCTTTGGGCCACCAAGCCCTCTCAGAAACAGCCACTATTCATTTACAAAAAGCCCTCAGTACCTGGAGCTGGGACATAACAGGGCCCTCTGTCCCCAGCCCTCAGTCAGGTCAGCCTGAGCACCCTTCCCTCCAGTCTTGCCTCACCCTCAGCAAGGGAAACACCTTCTCTTCCCTTCTCCCCCCCCAAAAAAAACACATAGCTCCCAGCAACTCACCCTAGGATATTCAGCCACTCAGCCATTTTGCTCAGAGTCAGTCCTCAGGAAACCTCTGCTCAGCCTGACAGGGTAACAAAAAAAGAGGCTTACTCTCTGGTCTCCCCTCTCAGTAAGGCTACAAACTACCCCAAATTCACCCTTCTGAGAAAGCAGTCAGAAGTTGCAACACACACAATACACTAAGCAGTTCTCTGAGGCTCCCCTGCCCTTTAATCTGGGTGATCATTCTCAGCTGTGTGTGCACAGCCAAACTGGGTGCAGCTGGACCCCCACCCCAGGCAGTTTACTGCAGCTCCAGGCTGTGCTCGGGGGGCCTGGTTCAGCCTTTTGTCCCAAACACACCAAGTTCCCTCTCCTGACAGGCTGGGATAGATCATTTATCAGTATTTAACAGCACTGAACAGCACCAGTGGCTTTCTGACCCACTCTCCTGGCTTGGGTTAGCCCCTTCAGAAGCTCTTCGTAGTCTTCAAGTCTTAACTGTCCAAGAGCATTTTATTTTCGGTTGCATGGAAAATTTGCTGTTTCAGCCTTCACTGGCTTTGCAAGACCCTAGGAGATATTAAACACAGGTGATTAGACAAGACATGATTCTGGCAAATTATTAGAGACATCTGTAGAAAGCTAATGTTCTTCCTATTTCATGAACTGAGAGACTGGAGACCAGAGGTCAAATGGCTTTGCTCAAGACTGCAAAGAGCTAAAGGCAAGGCCAGAAATAGAGCTCAGATCTCCAGGCTCCCATTATTTCTGCCCTGTCCCTAATGCACACTTGCTTCTACTCTGTATGGCTGATTTTAAATGAAAATGAGGAATTAACTTCCAAGCTAGTTTTGGAAAGAGAGAAGAAAAGAGTGATATTGTCTACTGTAAGAGGAGAATTAAAGATGACATTTCATTTTAGTCCTTTGTATATGCATAATATAATCAAACACAATAGCAGTAATAAATGAATATTTTTTTCTCCCCCTGGTGCTTACAAGTGCAACATATTCTAACAATTTCTCAAAACTGTGTTGATAAATTGAAAACACAGTGATGGAGGTAACAAAGCCAACAAAAACATAATCCATTCAATTTATCAGAGGGACTAGCTTTGAGAAGAGAACCCTTGAAATCTGAACAGTCCTGTTCTTATAAACCAGACATAATATATTTCAAAACATAAAGCTACAGTTTTTATGCCTGTGCATAAGCATGTTAATTAAACATTTGCCCAGGCAATCAGGGCTTGTTGTGGTTTAACCTCAGCCAGCAACTAAGCACCACACAGCCACTTGCTCACTCCCACCCAGTCGGGGAGAGAATCAGAAAAAAAAGTAAAACTTGTGGGTTGAGATAAAGACAGTTTAATAGGACAGAAAGGAAGAAAAAAAAGACAGCATCAACAAGAATTATAATAAAAGAATTGGAATATAAAAAACAAGTAATGCACAACACAATTGCTCACTACTCACTGACCAATGCCCAGTTAGTTCTTGAGCAGCAATCTGCCCCCCACCCCACTCCCAGCCATGTCCCTCCAGTTTATATACTAGACATGAAGTCGCATGGTATGGAATACCCCTTTGGCCAGTTTGGGTCAGCTGTCCTGGCTGTGTCCCCTCCCAGCTTCTTGTGCCCCTCCAGCCTTCTTGCTGGCTGGGCACGAGAAGCTGAACAACCCTTGACTTAGTACAAACACTACTTAGCAACAACTGAAAACATCAGTGTGTTATCAACATTATTCTCATACTAAACCCAAAACATAACACTATACCAACTACTAGAAAGAACATTATCCCAGCCAAAACCAGGACAGGGCTAAATAAATTATTTGGATGTATTTCACCAATTCAGTTCAAGATGGGAGAGGCAGGGTGCATACTGGAAAGCCACAATGCATGGAAGCACAGAGGGGAAATAATAAAGAGGCAAGGGCCAGGTTTTCAATTTACCAACCCTATTGACTTTGCTATCAAAAAAAAGCAGTCCCTGGAGGGCCTTCCTCCTACACACTGCTCACCTTCCATGCAAGTGACAGCCTTATGCTGTCATGTCAGAAGACTAATCCGTTGGACATGTGTGGGCACATGGTGTTTCACATGGTCTGGAGTGTTTTGCAGCTTCCTAGTCCATTGGGCATACCTGAGACATAAGACATCAGGAACTGTTCTGTGAAAACATCTATAATTTCTTTAAACATACACCACATGCAAGCCAGCCACTAAATGAAGTGGGGGGAAATATAGACAATAAAAGGAACATTCTAAGTTTAGTCTGATTTTTGTTCTGTTGCAAAGGAAAAAACTGGAATGATACAGCAGAAGATGGATTTGTTTTCTACAATGTTTTCAGTTTGAAAGGTAACTCAAAAAGGTAGACCAGCACTGTCATATCATAAGCAAAGTCCAGCTCCAGAACTGCAATGCCATCTCAACTGTTCAGCACCACTTACAGCATTACAAAAGTCAGTAGTTAGCTGAAAAAAGAGTCACAATGTTGTTAGAATCATGGCAAACAAATTTTGAAAGGCCCATCCCTTGGATTTTGTGAGTGCATTTTTCATGTGGATACTAAGACGAGACCAAAGGAAAAGCAGCTTTGTTCTAGCTGATAAAACCTTGTGGAGCTTTAGAATTATGAAGTGTCCTTTTGAAGTCAGAATGAAGGCATTGATAAGACCATCTAAAACCAAAAATAATTTGGATAAACCCCTTCTATCTTCCTAAGACACCTAGATTATTTCACTGTGATATAACAAAGCACTCAAGGAACCTTGAAAAATTAGAAGAGATGGTTAAGAGGTTAGTAATAGAAAGAGTTCAAGACCTCTATTATAAATTAAATTATAAGATTATTAAGGTTATTGTAACACATCTATTACTGCGGAGTCAAACCAAACCTAAGCCAAACTGAAAACTTTAGGGGACTGTGGTGGTTTTTAACCTAGGAGGTAGCTAGCGTGTGAAATTTTCTTGAATTTGACCTGGAATAAATCAATCACTGTTGAA